AGGAAGAACTAGCTAAACGCATATCTGAATCCGACAGCTGTGCTCACCCTGGAGAAGCCTGGAAGAATATTCAGTCAGCTATAGATACAGCTGTAAAAGCTGTGAATAAGACAAATCCAAAGGTGAGTAAAAACCACTGGATTTCGACTGCCTCATCCGAACTGATAGATGCTAGAAGACTTATTCCGGCGAGCTCCGAATTCAATGAGGAGCGAAAGCTGCACAAAAGGAAACTTACTAAAAGTCTCCGCAAGGACCGTGAACAGTGGTGGGTGACAAAGGCGAAAGAGATGGAAAAAGCATTGGCGATAGGCAACACTAGGCAACTCTTTAGACTCATCACAGAATCGGGCGGGAAAAGGCAATTCATAAGTGAGACTATTTCTGAGAAAAATGGCTCCTTAATTAGCTCTCAGGATAGACGCCTTGAACGCTGGAAAGAACACTTTGAGGAACAATTTAACTTGCCTACAGCCACACTGAACCTCCCCGCCATCCACCACGTACCCGAATGGGATATAGACACTGGTCCGCCGTCTGTAGGTGAGGTTACAAAAGCTATCAGTAATTTGAAACGAGGCAAAGCGGCAGGACCCGACGGAATTATTCCGGAGGTGTTTAAATATGGGGGTGACATACTAGTTTGTAGATTAACTGAGGTACTAGGCAAAGTCTGGGAATCAGAGACAGTACCATCAGACTGGGGTAAGTCACTCATTATACCGATATTCAAGAAGGGAAACAAGTCCTCGTGTGATAATCATAGGGGGATCAGCCTAACGAACATAGTCTCTAAAATCCTAGGCTCAGTAATCATGCATAGACTAAGCAGAACTCGGGAGGAACAGACAAGGGAAAATCAAGCAGGCTTTAGACCAGGTAGAGGGTGCATAGATCATATCTTCACTCTTCGACAGATTCTAGAACATAGACACACTTTTCGGCGTCCAACAATTGTCATATTTCTTGACTTGAAGGCGGCCTTCGACTCCGTGGACCGAAAAGTACTATGGCAATGTCTGACTGTGAAGGGAGTGCCAAGAAAGTACATTGCACTAATCAAGGCACTCTATTCAAACTCACGTAGTCGTGTAAGGGCTTATGGGGAATTGTCATCTGAATTAGTAACAACCAGTGGTGTCCGACAGGGATGTCCACTTTCCCCATTTCTGTTTAACTTCATCATAGATATGCTAATGGAAGTATCCTTAACTGAACGTAGTGACTTAGGAATCGACTTGTTACCAGGGAATAATCTAATGGACTTAGAATATGCAGATGACATAGTCCTGTTAGGGGAGGATGCTGACAAAATGCAGAGTCTTCTGAACACCTTGAGCAGCAATCTTCGTATGTTTGGCATGCGATTCGCCCCTGCAAAATGTAAGATGCTGCTACAGGACTGGACGACGTCAACCCCTAACTTAGTGATAGGGAGTGAAGTGATAGAACATGTTGACCACTTCACCTACTTGGGAAGTTGTATTAGCACCAACGGACTGATTGGCGATGAAATCTCAGCACGGATCCGAAAAGCTCGAGCTGCTTTCGCTGACTTACACCATCTCTGGCGTAGGCGTGACATCCGGTTATCAACCAAGGGACGTGTGTACTGCTCATCAGTTCGCTCCGTCCTTCTCTATGGCTCTGAAACATGGCCAATACGCGTTGAAGACATGAAAAGGTTGACTGCTTTCGATCATAGATGTCTGCGATCTCTGTCTCACGTTAGGTGGTTTCACAAGATAAGTAATGTTGACGTTAGGCGTAGAGTGTTGGGCAAAGAGGGAAAATCAATCGACGAGGTTATAAAGTTACATAGACTAAGATGGCTAGGTCACGTGGTGCGCATGCCTAACCACCGCCTCCCCCGACGGGCATTGTTAGCTGATATAGGTTCAGGTTGGAAAAGAGCCAGTGGTGGCCAAACAAAAACATGGCATCAATCCATGAAATCCTTGACAGTTAAACTGAGTCAGGTAGGGAGATGCAGACTCCCGGGTTGGGGCCCTCGGGACTCTAGGAATCAATGGCTGGAGACAATAGGTGACATGGCTCAAAATCGTTGTCAATGGCGCAGATGTATTCAATCTCTGTAATCTTTCATATTCCTTTCTACCATTACCCATTCTGTTTCACTCTTATATTTGTCAAACTCTATTAATTCTCTTCACTCATCTTCTTGTCTACCTCTGTGTGCTATTTGGAACGTGGCAACTCGAACTGCTGCACTTCGGTGCCAAGTTCTATGTTGAATCCAGACAGACAGACTTGGATTCCACTGCTAGCCACCACGTGTCAAAGAATCGCAATGTAGTTGGTGTTTTAGAGATGAAATAGTAGACAATTGGTACAGACTATGGTGTATGTTATATTGAATACTCAGATGGAGGGAAAATCCTCTAAATACATGATAATTAAGTCACATGGAACAACTAATAGGGAATCTCATTTAAAAAAGTTGAGGAGTAACTCTTCAAACGCACGACGAAACTTGGTCCACTTTCAGACTATTAGTTTGATAATTGGTACTGCTATCATCGGTATGTAGTTGACACTTGCATCGTTTGAGACAGGGACTTCAATAATATTCGGCCAACTCTTCGACTGGAGAAGAAGACATTTTAACGGTAAATCCCTCCTAGTTGTCCTCACCAAGAAGACGGATGTATATTAGAAGAGAAATCTATTCAGAAAAGAAACTTGGATTTATCAATGCATCTGTTCCCGTAGTTCGATACTGCTTCAGTACAAACGAAATTTAATTAAGTGGCTTAGCTATAAAATAGGGCGATATGTACAGACTGAAGCTTATGTTACAAGAAAGCGATTGTTCGTAAGAAAGTACGTGTCGATACCTAGCGATAGGTTAACGATGTATACCGTATATAATAAATTATAAGAAGTATCTAAATAGAAGTCTGCTATTAGACAGTAAGAAAAGCAAAATAAGATTGTAAAGAAGAAAACGTTTCCTTTTCAACGAAATTATATACATTCGCGAACATATAGCAAAGGCGTAAGATAGTTCCAAAAGTATTCCGGGGTAGAGATCAAGATTGAACGAACAGAGATTTATAACATTCATTTTGTGTTCCTGTCAGCACATAGGACTTCAAGCGGGAGCCTTTAAGTTCCAGCAGCAATATTGTTTTACTTTTTACCAGCCTCACATCTAAGAGTCCCTGTTAACCGAACTTACAGTCCAAGCGGGGTTTAAGAGTGCGTCTGCCAGCGATTGAGCCGCGGACCGTATGTAAATTTGGTGAGTATTCTACTGCTGAACCAACGACACTCATGTAGTACTAATAAGGATTTTAAAAATTAAAAGGGGAGTCTTTATGAAAAGACAATAGGATTATAGTGATTTTCTCGATGAGACAGAGTGCTGAAGTAAAGACAAAGGTCGAACATACTACTTTTGGATGTAAAGCGTTGGCTGGAATTTTTGAATTGTTAATGCTCTAGCTATAGCAGAACGTCTCGACATCACTTCTTTCGAGAGATTTATTCGAATTTTGTGTAAGATATTGTAGGCTTGTTCAAAAGGAGCTGAATTTCCTGAGTTCACGAAATCTTCTCTAACTAATAATATACCCAAAATTCGTCTGTGTTAATTTATACAGTTACTACAGCCTACTCGGTAGTAGTATAAAATATTTCACTTAAAAGTTTCCTACCTGCAATTGACTTAGATTAAACCTCTATTTGTATGTGTGTTCCTCTAGAAAAGCCTACGTAGACTTGTGAATCTGCCTATAATAATACAAATAAAATTGAAGTATAATAAATAATGAGAGTAATATAGACAAGATATGAAGCTTATGTGATCGTCTTGATATGATTATCAGCCGTAACGTGTGCTCTAAACATCAGTAAGTCAGAAATGTTATATTGTTTATCATTATTACTATATCCTTTAATTCCTAGTGGAACATAGGGCTTCATCTGCACATCTCCATTGCGTTCGGTTCTCTGCTAGAGTTTTCATCTGGCTCCAGGTCTGCCCATATGCTTTCATCTCCTCTTCACATGACCTCCTCCAAGTCACCCTTTCACTGACGACCAACTCGCCGCTTCCCTTTCGGGTTCCACTCGAGTGATGGCTTGTCTAGTAATGTCACTTGATGGTTACCTAAGCGTATGGCCAATCCATCTCCATTTATTCCTGGATATTTGTTGCGCAATCGGTTCCTGCTGTGTTGGTTTGCTCATCGCCAGAGACCAATCCCTGTTTCTGATCTTTTCTGGCCATATTGATCTTGAGTATTGAGCGAAGACAACTGTTAATGAAGGTCTGAAGTTTGTTTGAGAAGCTCTCTATGACGCACCAAGTCTCTGATCCGTATAGCGAGTAGCACTGACTTCATATTGGAGTTGAAAATCTGGATCTTATTTGTGTGTTTTATGAAGTAAAATTATTCTATAGTGGTATCAGACTCTTCCACAATGCTCAAATCCTATTCTTAGATCAAAGAACCAGCTTCCAAGGTTTTCTGGCTTTTTGTTTCAATTAAACTTATATCGATTTGTCTTCAAACTACATCGATATATTATTTTAATTTATTTACCTGCAGAATTTGTGCTCACTTTGTAGTTATATCATACAAACGACTGTTTTTCGTTGTTGGCGTAATTTGAATCTGGCTCTTCACTGTTTAAATATGAGAACTAACTTTATTAATAGCCTTAGCATTAGTTAAAGTAAAGTAATAATATGTCATAAAGCATGATGTTGAAACTGAACAACCTTGAATTCATTCGATCAATTAACCTACCGATCATCAAAAATTCAGATATTACAAATTTAAAAAAAAATATGACAGAAAAAGATGTACTTTAATGTAAAAGCTGTCATAGTTGCAAGTGAATTTAATTAGTCAACTTCCATACTATTGATTCATTATTGTTCTGTCAAGGTCAATGACGTTACCATAGTGAAGAGAGAAATGTTTTCACCAATAACTGCTAAGTTCACCATTTATCATACTTTATCTAGGCATAAACGTTTTTGTCTATGAGAGTAATTAATATTTACTTATTTTTTTCCAAATATGAATGAGAATTATTCGTTTTGAAAGTTTCATTACTCATGCAAAATTATATTTATGGACTAAAGAAACATTATGTTGATTTAGAAAACTGCAATGGAGACTATGGACACTCATATTTATAAGATCTGATAAATATAACTGGTCAGTTGAATGAACAATCGTGAAAGCCTGTTTTTATCCATATCAAATTATGAAAACTGAGTCGTCAAGTTTAGTAAATCTATGCCAAATATCCAACAGGTAATAAATAAATAGTACAGTGTTTGAATAAGGTGTGATTTTAAATTAAATTTGTTAAATGTTTGATTAATTGATTATGACAAGTGTTAGTTCTGATTGATATTGAAAGGAATCAAATCCAAACACTGATTTATAACTAAAGTCTTATGCTACCTTTTTCAAATTCTGACTGACCTTATCTGACTGTATCAATCAATTGTAGGTGGATCAGCAGACGAATCTCTTTTCGTAACTTCACTTCCTATCTGAAGATAGACGTATTAAATTTTGTCTGGAAGAGAACTGCAAGCTTGACAATTAGGTCACTCGAGTTCGAGGGCATGTCTGCAACAAAAACTATCCTTCTGAGTAATAAGTCTTCCCTATCATTTGAGAATTTGGTTGTTCCGACTACAGTCAGTAACCTAGCCTGAACCTCGGATTAGAAATCTTAGAAAAAACGCAAATAGATGTTACTATTTGCGTCACTGTCCCCGCTACTGTGTTTTCTAGCTTTGTCTACTGTTTTCTATGAAGTGGGTGGGTTAAACGAACATGGAAGTATGAGACCTGAGTAGACACCATTTTCCAAGGAAGCTGATAGGTTTACAAGCATGTGTAGGTCATTTAAAAAAAAGCATATAGGCTCATAATAATCCAGCCAGTATTAAACGTCACGCCGAAATAATACCCAAGAATTATGGACTATGACAGCTGTCATCCCGAACTAGCTTTACTCCACGAATGATATCAGAAGAATAGTAAATACATTAGGAATATACCAGTTCACACATCGTGAAGTAGTTTTTACGGGACAAATCCCGTTGATTTCAAGTTTATTGCAAAGGAATACTGAACAGTCTTCATACGTCAGATTGTTATACTCTGAAATCGTTCAAGGCGGTTACAAAGACTGTCAGGTACTCCTTGCAAAGGAACCACTAGTAAAAATATAAAACTGGATCGAAATCACATATTTACTTTCGAATTCCATATTTTTATTATTATTGTTGTTCCCTTTGGTTCCTAGTGGAACATAGGGCTTCAACTCCACGTCTCCACTTGCTTCTGCTGTACTTTTCACCTGCATCCAATTTAGTCCATACTCTTTTAACTCCTCTTCACACGATCTCCTCCATGTCACCCTTGCACCGACGACCCACTCGACGCTTCCCTTTCGGCCTGGTTGCACTCGAGCAATGGCCTGACGCTCGCGCGATGTCACCCAGCGGTCTCCTCAGCGAGTGTCCAATCCACCTCCACTTTCTCCTGCATAATTGTTAGGCGATTGGTTCTTGTTTTGTTTGTTCCCATAGTTTCTTGTTGGTGATTCTTTCCGGCCTGACCATCTGATCTTCAGTAAACAGCCAGTGAAGACAGTTGTTGATAAAGGTGTGCAACAGGCTGTTGGAAATACTCTTTGTGACCCGCCCGCCCGCCAGGTTTCTGATCCGTATAGAAGAACTGACTGATTTGACGTCTTTATTGAAAATCCGACGGAATTTTGTGGTTGATTCTGAGTGACGAAGATTTCGAGATTGGTTTCAGGTTGATGAATGCGTTTGTCGCCTTCCCGATTCTCGCTCGATTTGACATCCTCGTCCGTTCCTCCTCCTGTAGTTGAGACAATGGTCCCTAGATCAGTGAGTGAATGAAGTAACATCTTTCAAATCCCTCCCATTGATGGCGACTGGCGATGAATTTTGCTGCTGTTGTTGTTGGTTAGTTATTTTCATCACCTCCGTCTTGTCTATATTCACCTGGAGTCCTGTCTTCTCCGGCTGCTTCTTCAACCAGTTTGTCGGTTTTCGCTTGTAAGTCCTCGATTTTGTGTGTGTGACATCAAACATAAATCATCCACGCGAGAAATCCAGGTCTTCTAGGTTCTTCACGTCGGTCCAGTATATCCCTGTCTTCTCGATTCCCACTCACTGTCTGACGCATAATCCAGTCAGTCCACCACAATTAGGAATATCATTCATTGGTGAGAATAAACACCCTTGTCTGACCCCTGTGTTTACTCCAAACGCCTCACTGAGTTTTCCGTTGTGGATCACTTGACATGTGCCGTTGTCGTACAGCTGTTGAATAAGGTTGATGAATATTTGGGATATGCTGTAGTACGAATTCCATGTTGGTTTGTTTATATATATATATAAGCCAATATGAAATTACTTTCCACCACAGTGCACAAATTTTACACATATATTTACATTCGAATATGTTTTGGTTTCCAGAGAAATTTCATCTCGATCTCCTCGAATATTGGATTTTATTCTAGAACACATCTGAGAATTCTCATCGTAAATTCCAATCGGTAGAACACTAAGCTCTTAATCCACTGGTCTCTGCAGCCTCGGTTATTCTCTACTTATTGTACAAGTACGTTCGCATAACCGCTGATTTTCACTTTTTCAGTATTTTAGGTCCAAATGAAACCCGCCTTACAGTTGACTCACTGGTACACCAAGAATCCCAGCGAAACAAATTGTTCTTCAATATAAAACAAAGAAAAGATCATTCATATCCGGTTACTTTTCACCATGATCAATTGCTTGTTCAGTTGGTGCAAGAGGATGGGAACATGAAAGTGGACAATCTTATAGTCCCAAAACCGTAAGTAATTCTCTCCTGGACTAGCAGAGTGTTTCTTGTTTTGCTGATCAATATTTTGTGTGTGTATGTGTGTGTGTTTGTTTTTGAGGATTACAGACAAAATAGTAATTTCTGTCGGTATCTATCAGCTGCAAAATCTAAAGCGAGCGCTACTGTTCGGAGGGAATGTTCTCCGACCACTCACATCAATTAATCAGTAGCATATGTGCATGTCGCGTCGGTGGTATAGCGGTTAGAACGCTCGCCGACCACACACATGGTCCGGGGTTCGATCCCCGGCCGACGCACACCTTTACTTCGCTAAGCCAGAAATAATGCTGGTAAAGTGGAAAGGTTGGACATGAGGCTAGCAACCCTATCCTGTAAAATAAACACTGTCACAGAAACTTCAAGCCTCTAGCTTGAGGCCCCATGTTCCACTGGGGAACGTGAAGGAAAAAAAATATGTGCATGACTATTTCTTTTTTTCCCCTGATTACCATTCACGGTACCAGGCTGTACAGTATTATGATCTGAATAATTTAAGTTTACGACGGAAACTGCGACGTTTTATGTCCTCGAACTGTGTAGTTTGTAAGTGACTCATTCGATTCTATATATATAACTAGTTCGCCAAAATCGTTATCTGTAATTCGGGCGGTTTGAACCCATTCAACTCTTTGAGCTGAGTTGAACTGACAGCCAAATAAGTGAAATAGCCTTCTGGTGACTAGATCACTTCAAGCGAAAGGGTTTGACAGATTTGGTTTCCAACTTCTCATATCAATCAATCAGTAATATATTTAATATCAAAATACAGTGAGTCTGTAGGAAAAGAATGTTCCATCCTTTGTATAAGAATGCTTAACTTAGCTGTCAGTATGGGTCTACACTACTCAAACAATCCATGTTTCCCCTTATATGACCTTAACCAGCGAGGATCATGCTAATTAGGACGTAGTGTTACTTAACTTTGTGGAGACAATTCATTACATTATTGATTCTATTCAGTTGGCACTGTTTATTTTCTATATAACTTGCATAACTGAGCTAACTGAGATCCAGGGAAGGGGAGCACTGGAGAGCTGGGTTGTAGACACTACTGGGATGGTGACATTACTGTATTAAAAGGGCAGAGTTTATAGTCAGTTTCACTTCGTATTATTCAGCCTTGTAATCTATGTTACCTCTTACAATCATTTTCCATAGTACTCACGTGCTAAAAATATGAGGAAACCACTGCAACACTCCAAACAACCTCTGACATTAAGCTGAAGTAAAAGACAGATGAAATGATTTTGATGTAGACATATGTAAAAATTATATTTTAGAAAATCTCGACGCAACTGAAACAAATAATTCCAACGTTTCATTCGGAAAACTAATCCGAACGTCTTCGGGGAAATATATATATATATATGTTGTCCTAAAGAAACATTATTCATTCGATTTGATCGCTTATCTTCACCGTATCTCAAAAAGCTACGTAGAGATAAAGAACTGTTGTTCAAAACAAATGATAAGCCTGGTGTAAAAAAGTTAAACATTCTGAAAAAACTGGAAATGAAAAGACTAAATGTTTTATATAATCAAAGATTTTTGTCATGTAAAACCCCTTCTAATTTATGGAAACTTTTCAAAGAAATTACTAACGGTAAGCGATGTACTTCTGTTCCATCTCTTAATGTTGACACTCTCAATAAATCTTTCATACGCTCTTCTGTTGATACCCTTCCAAATGATACAAATCGTATTGACAATAACTTTAGTGGTTTTAATACCCTTGATGTGCTTAAATGTCTCCGGTCTCTTAAGCCTTCTCAAAGCCTTGGTCCTGACGGCATACCTGCTATTGTCCTCAGGAATTGTGCTGATATTTTGTGTTACCCTCTTACTAACATTTTTAATGCTTCTTTTTCCGGTAAAGTTCTACCTTTTGCATGGAAAAACATTAAAATTATCCCTATACCAAAACCATCTTCTGGTTCTGATATTAAATTTAGGCCTATTGCAATTACTTCCCCCTTTTTAAAATTGATGGAAAAATTATTTTTACTTCGTCTTGAACCCGCTTTGAAACCTTTTAATGATCCTAAACAATTTGCATACAAACATGGTAGAAGTACCTTGGATGCTGCGGTCGTCTTATATCACAACGTTGTCTCTTGTTTAGACAAAGGTGCTAAATATGTTCGTAGTGCTCTCTTAGACTACACATCTGCTTTTGACTCTGTACCTCTAGGGGCCTTTTGTTAAATAAGCTATCGTTGACACTAACAGGATCCTGGGCAAAGAGTTGGTTGCATTCCTATTTTTCTGATAGAATGCAGTATACTGTATATAACGGCAAATCTTCTTCTACCTCGATTACAAAATCCGGTGTTCCACAAGGTGCTGTCCTCTCTCCTTTTCTTTTTTCTTTCTTCCTACATGACCTGCCTCATTCAAACGAAACTAACTTTGTCAAATATGCAGATGATCTGACTGTATCACTGCCTATCACTTCCGAGTCTGACAGCTCCAAACTTAATAGCTTTCTGTTGGACATCAACAAGTGGTCCAAGTCAAATGGTCTTATATTAAATCCTTCCAAATGTCAGGCGCTTGACTTTACTTTCAAGCATCGACGTGACTTACTTGAACTAGTTAGCTCGCATGATCCCTGTAGCATAGATGGCACGGAAATTGAAACCAAATCAAGCATTAAATACCTTGGATTAGTTCTTTCCTCTGACCTTTCATGGTCATCCCATATCTTATCTATCTCTAAGAAAATGTTTCGTCTTACCTTCTACATTAAAAAGTTAAGACAATCAGGTATCAACCAACTTTTAGTTTTGCAATTTTTAAACTCCTGCATTTTACCTATTGTACTCTACTGCTCTCCATTAATCTTTCCTGGGCTGCTCAAAAAAGATTATATCATATTACGTAGAGTATTAAATGCTGTGAGTAGAGCTTGTGGTCTGCCACTGCATGAGCTCGCTAATACTATAGTCGAGAGGCATATAAATTCCTGTAAGAAATGGGCAAAGGCTATAATGACAGACCCTCTGCACCCCCTTTATTCACACCTGTCCCCTTGTATCTCATCAGGTAGGACGAGAAGTCAATATAAAAAGATATATGCTCGTACTACTAAGTATAGAAATTCTACAATACCCTATTTAGCGCGTACTTTATGTGATGAAGACTCTGTTAGACGTGAAACTTACAAGTTACTATGTATTTGGCACAGTGAATCGACCCTTTCATCGCTCATCTTTCTGTATTTTATGGTGTTACACTTTCTATCGTTTAAATCGTTACTCTGCTATTTTATATTAGTTGGTATTACTGTTATTACTACAATTTTGTACTTTATACATATTTTTCTCCGTATGGCACACAGTATTTTGATACGCAGCTGCTACAACAATCGTTTTATTACTATTATGTATTGTGTATTTTTAATTTTTTTTGTTGTTGTCGTTTTTGAGTAAATTAGATGCAATATTGTACTGAATGCTGAAAATTCCTTGCTGTATCATTAGTACTGTTTTTGGAATAAAGCAAAAATTTATTTAGTTAGTTCATTTTTTGTTCATTCATTTTTGTTGACAGTTGTGCTACTGAGTCACCCTTGTTACATGTATCCGGTGTGACTTTAAGGAATATAGATTCTGTTACAAGTCTCTCTTTTCATTTGTTCATATCAGTTTTTAGAATACAAACATTGTTCCAATCGATATTGTGGTTTAGTCCCATGCATGCGCAGCTATAGATGGATTTTTTTGTAAATTGCTGTGAGCTTGTGTTCCTGCTGGTTGACCTTTCGTTAGGCGTTTATTTTCGTTCACTCTCATTTTGAGTGATCTGGACGTTTGACGCACATATTTAGTCGGACAGTTGGCACAAAATGTCTGTTTGTAGATAGCATTGTTTTTATCTATCATTTTTATCGGATTGTTCAGTTGATTTATCTTTTTTTTTTAATTAGATTGGTCGGTTTCAACGTGGTATGAATCCCAATATTTTTGAGGTTTCTTCGAATTGCCTCTGATGTGCCATTTTTGTATGGTATTGTGACTGGTTTTTTGCCTTCCTCTTCCTTTTTCTATAGTAGGTTTGTGCGTCGGTGGAGTTCGAGCCCGCACTGACGCACATCTGAGATCTATGGTCGGCCTGCAAAATTTGGGCTACCGATATCCATGCTGAAAATTCCATACTTGTACCAAAAATACAGTGTGGAATCAAACTGTAATTCAAAAATAAAAAAATAAAAAATAAATAAAAATTTTGTTTTTATGAGTTAGAGAAGCATTGAAAACCAGGGAGTACTGGACAGCTGTTTCATCCTAGTTTGGAAATCATCGGCAGTGCTCACCCACTGCAAGGATTAGAACCCAGTACCTTCCGGTTACAAGGCAAGCCCGTATACCATTCAGCCACTGGGACCCGATTCAAGGACTCATGAATTCAAACTTATACCAGTTCGTAATTTACTGTATATCAACCAATGGCGTCGGTGGGACATCCATCCTCCTTCTTGTCTTTCTCTGGTTTTACTCTCTTTTTCATATTATTTCTGATAAATTCTCTTGGGTAGTTGTTGTCGAGTAACATTTTGAATTGGTCGTTTATTTCTTTTCTCTGGTCCTCTGGTGTTGTTGTAAGTCTACGTATTCTATCTGCAAGACCTTGTAATCATCCTCGTTTTACCGTGAGTGGATGAGCTGAGTGATGAGTGACCAAGGAATCTTACAGAATGTGTAGTTTTTCTATACAGCGTCGTTTTTATGCTACCATCTATTACTCTTTGTACTTCGCAGTCTAACATAGGCAGTTCCCTAATTTCATTATCCATTTCCATAGTGAAGTTTATTGAATCCACATGGCTGTTTATGAGCGAGAAGAATTTGTCAACATCTCAAAATAGAATTGTATGAACTGTAATCAAAAGTTGACCACAGACTTATTATTAGTCTGTTTTTGTTATATGCTGTAAACAGTTGTGTACTTTTGCATCGACAAAAGTTCACGGTCATGGATAACTGAATATTAAAAGTACACGTATCCAATATACACTTGTATGTGTGTGTGTGTGCATGGGATAACTTTTTATATCATTTGGTTTAGCTGTGTTTTCTCAGCTTATAATTTTAATTATTCTCCTAGACAACATCTTCATTTGTTAGCTCTTCCATAAGATGATATAAACAATCAAAAAAATATATTAAGTATAAAAAATTAGTGAAACGTATCCATTTTTATTTATTAATCAGAACTTGTCACGCATCAGCTAACATCACACCATCGTTTTGAGATTCACCATATATATATATATATATATATATATATATATATATATATATATATATATATATATATATATATATATATATATATATATATGGAGTGTCTTCAATCAGTCTTTCTTTATAAGAACAAAAACCTTTCTCCAGAACCTTGGTCCTATCAAAGTCGATCTTATGTCGCGTTTCTATGTTGTGTAGTGCAATCACCAATCTGTTTTCTAGCTTCTTCAAATCTGCAGAGGTCTTCGCGATTACCTTTGGGCAATATTTATGACACTTTACTCTTACAGTTACTTGTCTGGAAGTTTCTCCTACATATAAAACATCACTATCCCCGCCTATCTGGCACACACAATTCTGTTGGATGTCTTCTTCTATTTCCTCCTTAGCCATCACTATTGGTGACCGTAAGGTGTTCGTCGCATGAAAATGCTGTCTTATATCATGGCTGTTAAGAATTCGCTTTACTTCATTCGATGTTACTTTACGATTTGGAATCACCACTCTACTAACCAAATTCTTAATAGCAGATTTTAATGCACCACTATCTTCACTTTTTTAATGTCTTTCGTTAAAGTGTTTAGGGTAATTTTGTCTACTTCTCTCACTCAGTGCCCAATTATTGTGGAAGTGTTCGGTTAAATCTTAATCATAGTTCATATTAAACGATACTGGTGTAGTTGTTTTCTGTGAACTGCATGATTTAGTTGCGAAGCTTTTATTGTCATATTAAACAACATTCTCAGAGCATACTTCAGATTGAAGGATATTTCCAGGCGGACTAATCTCCTCATTTTATTTTAAATTTTCACTTCTTCATAGAGCTGTTAATCGGAAGTCATATCGTTGGGATGAACCTCAACAGCCAACACTACTAAATAGATCCAAATACCTGAGACAGTTTCGAAAATATCACAGTAATTCGTATTATAAGAGTAATACAAAATCTGGCGATAATCCTTCTCCACATAGTGGGTGTGCAGTAGATGTAAACAAACCTAATGTGTCGCATAATTCTTCTACTAAAAGGTAAGTAGTTTAAGATGACGTTTAAATGTTTCTTTGCAACTTATTTATTCTCAATGAACACTTCGTCAGGAAACTCCTATATCAGTTAATGAGCCATTAAAAAAAACCAAGGAGCATTAGAAATAAGAAAAAGACGTAAACAGCGAACAAAATTTTCTTTCCGACGATTCATTTTCATAAGCTGTACAATCGTAATTATTATCGAACAAAGAAATCACTTGACCATTCAGAATACTGGTAGAGTTTGTCCCCGAAAATGTATTATATAAAGTAAGGTGCGACCTAGAAGCGATGACTAATTGGAAGTTAGACAAGAAGCAGAAGTTGGCTAGTGTAACAAGTGTAAGATAATGACTAATCAACAAACTCTTGTAGAATGCACAGGAACTAGTGGAAATACGGTAAACTGTTTGAAAACTCAGTGTTCTTATTAAACATCAAAAGAGTGGTAATAAAATAGTAGTAATACCGATAATAAACTGAACTTACATAACAAAAAAAGAAGAAGTAGAATTACAGTGAGAACTTCACTCTGGGCCACGGTAGGGCGAGGGAATGTGCATAGCGCTTTTGAATACGGACGTCCAGTTTCAGACCCCGAATAGCTAATGCTTCAACTATGTACGGATGGTGTATGCGAAGGACTCAGGATAGCTCTGTGAAGCATTCATGCGGGGGTGCCCGATGTCCGGAGATGACAAGGTGTTTGAGGATGGAGCTGTTGCTATTCTTCTTTTCTCCTCTGGCTAACCAAGCTGGAAAATGTTCCAGAACAGGTTTGTGGACTTGACGTTCCGTACGGCTGATAGACTTCGCTCCACACGAGCAGATAAATTAATAGATACACAGTTAGTTGACTAATAGCGATATCTTTTCCTTAACGTTAGACTGGTGAATGGTAAAGTGGCTACTGAAAACTTCTTCTTCAGACACTTGGAAAGGCGGTTTCTAAGAATTTCTGCTGCAATCTCACCTTTGAATCCCAGGTATTTGAAGAGAACTTTCTTAGGAAGAGTTGTGATTTTCGGCGATGGAGACTTTTCTTTCATGTTTTTGTCTATGAATCTTGGTGGATACCAGTTCTCTAGTAAGATTTCACGTAATAAATGTAATCCTTTCTCTATCATGTCTTCCGAACAGATTTTTATAATCCTTGAACTTAATGTACGTACCAGGTTTTGCTTTGGGATCAGTGGGACGAAGCTGTGGAACTTGACAAACTGTCCAATCGATGTTGGCTTGCGACATATCGATCTTTAGATCGTACAGTTTTGTCTTGTGGTGAGTAGTACATCGAGGAATGGAAATGCCATGCTCGATTTACTTTCTAAGGTTAATTTTATTGATGGATGTGCTGCATTGAAGGTTTTGAGGAGATACTTTAAATCAACTTTTTCATCACAAATTATGAACTTATCATCTACGTATCTCCCGTATAAGTGCAGTTGATTTGTCAAAGTATCGATGATGTTATTTTCAAGACTCGTCATAAAGCAGTTGGTTAAGAGTGGACTGACAGGAGACCCCGTAGTTACACCATCTTTCTGTACATAGAGTTGTTCATTGAATTTGAATTGGACATTAAACATACATCGGAGAAGTAGTTCCTTCAGGTAGTTGGTGGGAAGAGGAACTTCCTGGTTGTTGGTTTCCATGTAATCGCAAATGAAGCATATTGTTTCGGTCAGGGGGATGCTAGTGAATAGAGAGGTGACATTTAGTAAAAGCATTTTTCTTTCAAACACGTTGATATCTTTCAGTGAGTCGATGAAATCAAATGTGTCGCCAAGGCTATATTTTGTCATATGTATCCTTACTGGCTCGAGGATATCAGCTAGCCATTTTGCAATCTGATGATATGGTGAGTTGACCATGTCTATGATAAGTCGAAGTGGGGCATTCTCCGTATGCACTTTGGGCAGTCCATATAGCCTTGGAATAGTTGAACTGCATGGTTTTATTTGCTCATATACCTCCGATGTTATGACTGAATCTTCTTCCATTCTCTTCAGCAATTTTGTAAGTAAGTTTTCTGGCCTTTCTGTTGTGTCTTTCTGGTTGGGTGATTTGAAGAATTAAGTGTTGTCTGCTAGTATGTTTGTCAGTTTCTCATTATAGTCGAATCTATTCATTACCACAATTCCATTGCCCTAATCAGGACTGACAAGGATTATGTCTTCATTTTCTTGAGGTTGTTTAAGTTGTCTTCTGTATTCCTTGGTGAGCAGATAACGGTGGCTCCGTCGTGTACAAATGTACTTGTAGCAGCTGTCAACAAATGTATCTTTAAACTGATAAAGATCTTTTTCAGAGGTAGGTAACAAGCATTAGAAATCTGTTTCATCCTTGTTTGTCACTCTTCTTTAGTACTCACATCCAGGCATCGAACACAAGAGTTCAGGCTAATAGTCAAACCTGTTAACCATTTCGACCTCAAAAACTCCAATTTCTGTCGATTTTTAGTGTTGAAACATCATCAGCTAACGAGGTCTGTGAGCATTCATGTCACACTCTACACACTGGAGCCCATTAACAACAACCTCTCTAGTAGGTTAGCAAATACGCACTCCTAAAGCTGTCCAGTGCTCCTTATTCTGCTATGGTTCTCCACCTGATGTCAATCTGTAACAAAACCTACCCTGTAGGTAATCAGAATTCCTATAAATCCTAAAAGCTGGAATAACTTATTCGCATTAAATTGCAGTTTGTAAACTAAAAGAAACATTGAAGAAAAATCTAATTTGAAAGTGAAGTGAATGCATTTCTAGTAAGTAGTTTGAATTCTTTCTCACTTGTTTCTTAATGAAAGTACCATCAATAAACTATGAGGCTTATTTACATCGAGCCAATGACTTCCAGGAAATTTAATATACGCTTTTCAAATCCCATAACCAAGTGACTTCAACTTTATTCCATGTTTAAATTATGTGGTAAAATCTTTCTATAATACAGTATTTATTACTGACCCGACTACATTCTATAAGCAGAACAGATTAATCAAAAAATGAGTGCGTACTCTGTCTACACTTTCGCTTCTTCCATCATCTTGAATCCTTGAATCTCCTTCGTGTTTTGATATGACACTTCACTTAGTGTGTGAAAGTATGTGCATGTATTTGAATTCCGATTTATGTAAATAACTTGGTACACTTTAAGAAGAAAATTAGTTGGCTGGGAATTTTATGGCTCAATACTGTTTGACTTTGTTCGTTTTGTTTGTATAGATTAAGGTTATTGTGTTGACTGCGAGGAAACAGGCATAAAATGGACCCACACAAAAACTGGGAGGATCTGGACTTCGCCGATGATATATGTCTGATTTCCCACAAACTGGAAGATATGCAAGTGAAAAGCAACAAGTTGGCAGAAGAAGCATCAAAGATAGGACTTCAGGTGAACATAGACAAAACAGGGTGATGAAGATTCCTGGCCAACACCAACAACAACAGACAACAATCAGCCAGTATAAATGGGAGGAACCTGAAAGAAACAACCTCCTTTACTTACCTACCTGGGAAGCATCGTTTCAACTAAAGGCGGACGGAACTGATCAGGATATCAGAGCAAGAATCGGGAAAGCAAGACAAACTTTCACTACTCTCAAGTCTGTGTGCAGGAGGTCAACAGCACTACTCAGCAGCAAAAATAAGATCCGGATTTTGAACTCCAATGTGAAGTCAGTGCTACTCACTATACGGATCAGAGACTCGGCCAGCGCGTCATAAAGAGCATCTCAAACAAACTACAAACCTTCATTAACAGTTGTCTTCGCTCAATACTGAAGATCAATATGGCCAGAAAAGATCAGAAACAGGGATTGGTCTCTGGCAATGAGCAAGCCAACACAGCAGGAACCGATTGTGAAACAAATAAGCAGGAAGAAATGGAGATGGATTGGATTGTGACCATGCTCTGAGGAAACCATCAAGTGACATTACTAGACAAGCCGTTGCTCGAGTGGAACCCGAAAGGGAAGCGGCGAGTTGGTCATCAGTGCGAGGGTGACTTGGAGGAGGTCATGTGAAGAGGAGATGAATGCATGAGGGCAGACTTAGAGCGGGGTGAAAAAGTTGGTGGAGAACCGAATGCAATGGAGGCCTGCAGCTGAAGCCCTAAGTTCCTCTAGGAATTAAAGGAAACAATAATAATAATATTGTGTCAACTATTCTGAATTTATTCCCTTACAGTTCGTTTGTATAAAACTATATATATATATATATAGTCATTAACTATTGTAATATGTCTTGTCATCTGTTTGGTGCTGACTGAATTCTATCAGTCAAGTTTTCAGTATGGCCACCATGTTAGGGGACTTGTCATCATGGTGTACAGTAAGACTGTTGATATTAGGTGATTTGAGGCAATCGGCAAGAAGCCTTTGACCTAGGTTTCGTGCTAGTTGGCGCCCATCACCAGGGAGTGTCTGAAGACTTGAAAGAACTCATGTCCCTTCTGAGATTCGAACTGGCGTCACCCAATGCTGAAGTCAGACACGTTACCACTGAACTATTCGGGCATTCGATTGACTTCCTGTAGGACTGTATTGGATATTTTGATTGGACACTAGCTAGCTGGCTAGCAACCAGTGTAATGTGTCTAGTTTTTTCTTAGGTGTGGACTGAGTTCTATCAGTCAGTAACTAGTATCGATTTTTTATCGATTCTTGTCAAAATTTTAAAAGGCGGATAATTCGACAGTGAATTTTCATATTTGGCCTTAATCAGAACTAATATTCTGTCTGTTATCTCTCTCTCTCCCTTTTCCACCCAAAGTAAGGGGCTGTAACCAATCTGCAGTAATATCCTCATGTAGGTTAAGTGCCTATTGGGATTAGTCAGTAAGGTGTTTTTGGATCCCTGAATGAACTGATATCCTCCTAAAACGGTTCCAACCTGCGTCATCCAGTGTTGTGGCCAAGAAGGACTTCGAGACTGATTATTACACCGCAAACTGACTGGTAAAATTCAGTCAGCACCACGGAGAAGTAAATAACACAACACTGGTGTTACTCTTCAGTGATCAGTCAATAAAGTTCTTATACTAGTATTCTGAGAACGAAATATACGATTCACAACGAACCTTAACAGTGAGATAAGGACCACATCACTGCCTCAAATTGCATACTTATTTACCTGGAGACTTAGGGGTGAGCAGATGAGGTTGTAAGGACACCTATTAAAGGGCGTGCCAACCAGCTGAATTCTTAAATTTGGTGCATGGTGCCAGGCAACCATCTACAATAGATTTTAAGTTGCAATATGGAAACACTGAGAGTTAAATACTGGGATTCGCTGTAGTGTTCGCCATTAGCAAGCTTAAGTCGTCCCTGAGTATATGTTCAAAACCATTTCATGCTTGCAATTTACCTACTTTGACAACACTTATCTACTAAAATTACTGAGTGTACATTACTGGTTACTGAATCCCTGAGAAACTGGGAAAATCATTGACTAGTAGAGGGAGCGAGAGAGAGAGAGAGGTAAGTCGACTTGTCACTAGGGTGAAATGGATATCATGCAGATAGTCTGTAGTGTTGCTTCTAACTGAGACACATCAGTCAAGTTTAAAAAGTGGTCACCAAGGCAGGTGACTAACCGTTGTAGTGTAATTTGAGTTAGTGTTAGATAGTTGGTGACATCGATGTTTCAATGCGAGAATGCTCGCCAACCACTCATGCATCCCCTGGTTTGATTGCCAAGAAACGCACTTTCAGACCTCATCGACAATAAATCTGGAAAAAAGAAGATTAGATGTTAAGCCAGAAACTGTACCCCGTAAAAGCCGCATCAGCGCCACTGGAACTTCACAGCTTGAAGTCATATGTTTCGCTTGGAACGCGATGAATGGAAACGAGATTGACGGCAATCCGTAGGAAGTTCTACTCTTGAGTTTAGTGCTTCTTATTACTCTTCATTAGAACGCTTTGTGACTTTTAATGAACTAATGTCTCCCCTGACATTCCGACCGCTCCCTCCAGTGTTGCAACCAGGGAGTTTATTACTCAGCTCAGGTTTCCTCCATCCATCCAGCTCAAACAAAATTATTATAACGAAAAAGTGAATAACAGTAGAAATAATCTAAGGAGAAAATAGGAAAGGGTATTACTGGTGATCGCATCTATCTTAGTTTGCCTCTAAATAATCGACCAGTTATGTTCTAGCTTTAAGTTTGTAGGCTCACTTTTATAGATTCATGTAAACTAAAATCTGTAGAAAATGAAATGTTAGACACTTAATACCCAAACAGTAATATTCAGAATAGGATACTTGGATAAAGAACCTCTTATTAGTATACCTTAATGTTTCTGGAATGAATTTGAATGTTGTGTCACTTATTCTACGTAGCTAGAATAGAGATTCTATGTAAATCAGTCAGTTCAATATATTCTGGCTTTTAAGAGCTCTTAAGCTACTTTCAAGTAATTTTTGGAACTGTTATCAAATCAGTCTACTTCTCACCCACAATCCGCCGGATGAAACTAGACTTACTAACAGTGATACCAGTAAACTATGAACATGTTTTATTTCTTAACACAGTGGTGAATGGCTACATAATTCACTGTAGTGGACAGACAAAATTAGCCCTTACTAATTGTGGTGAATTATGTGTTATTTTAGCATGTGTTGCTCTTTTTGTTGGAGATTGGTGTTGTACAACTATATAGCCAGGATATATGACCGTGCTGTTTGCCGCCACAAAGAAAATAGCCACAATCACAGTGTGATTACTTTTTTGAGACAAAATAGAGAATAAAATTTCACCCTGCATTCGATTCTGTTACATTTTATCCTAACAGAAAGAGGACTAATAATTCATGTCAAAAAAGTTCTACCAATTCAAAAAGAAACTCTCCTCTCTCCGTATCAAGTCTTGACAGTGGCCAAATGGCTGAAGTTCAAAATAAGCTGGACAATCTTCAGATACTTTTGTCACAAATTAATAATTTGAAAGTGAATGACGAGAAAATCGGTGACTCAACGGTTACTAATAGTAAACCAGATGGATGTGATGTCCCTAAGATGGAGGTTCTTCAAGGTCAGACACAGGAAGAAAATAAACCAGTAAGGCAGGCAGATGAATCTGTATTATTTCAAAAGTTACCGAATTATGTTACATTTTCTGTGAAGAAATCACATCAGTATGCCGTTCGAAATTGGCTACTTTCTAATTATAACCACATTTAACTACTTATTTTATTAATAGTAGTCGAAAATTAATCGACTGTTTTTAAAAATACAAAATATACAAAAGCTAAACTAATTACTTCTGTCAGCTTTTCTATACACATTGTAACTCTTTTATGTCAATTAGGAATAATCTGAATGGCTGCTGTTTCAAATCCGTACGTTTCTAGTATCTTTCATCAGTCAAGGAGATCTTTAATGCTTAAGTAATAGTAATAGTCTTCTACAGCATGTACTCCTGGTTGATAGGAATAGATGAAACCTACTTGCAACAACTAGACGTGCTTAGAAAGCAGTTACAAGCGATCCAAACACCAGACGATAGATTTTCTAGTTGGTTTAGAGACTATCCCGTTAACAGTGTGCTGGAATCGATTTAATTCAGAAAAGCCAGATATATATAAGTGAGAATTTATAGGGTAAAAGGATAAATCACTCGGCCTTAAATGCAAACTTTACTGACTGTAGACATATATGTAACCATACTTCTCGAGGTAATGCACCTCATGCTGTCAGTGTTGTAATAAATATATTGAGGAGACTTCGGCTTTAGATCTGACGACATCTTCAGCAGAAGAACATTGTCGAAACGATGATAGTACTACTAAAATACAAGTAATAATTGTATGAATTTTCCACTTCTGCGATGCAATAAGAAAACAAAGATTAAAGTAAGCTCTTCACCACTAGGAATAAAATGAATAATGTCAGCAACGCATCTCCCATAGAAAAGCGCTTTATCAATTAAATTAACAGAGAGATGTTCAATATAAGAAATAGAAATATCAGACAACAGGGGTTCTAATGGACTCCCTATAGCAAAACACTTGTGAAGTGGATGTCGTCAGTACACAACAGCAAAATATCCTTCAGATAAGTTTGGGGAATAGGGAATGAAAGATAACTAGATGATATATAATCACACAGAATTTCAGAATCTTTAATGAATGATACTATAGTAAACAAGGAATTAATATCAAAAGAGTAAATTTTCATGTCATTTATATTCATATCTACAAGATAGTCAACAATTTCACATGTGTCTTTCAAAGACGACTTACACAATTCATTGTTTACTAGGCTTAAAATTTCAGCCTACCATTTCGCCAATTTATGTATGGAAAAACGACACACTGATGGTATTGGACGCTATGGATTGTCAACTTTATGAATCTCGGGTAATTCATAAGGGTTTGGAAAGTCAGATCCAACGGTTTTCAAAGAATACAACTCTTGTTTGTCAATAGTATCCATTCCTCGGAGTTTTACTAAACGGGATGTTGCTTTTGCTTCCATGTTTCTGATGTCACAAGACGAGACATCAGCTACGAGTTTTCTTTCTTTGTTAGGAATGGATAACATTTTTGTTATCTATTACAACTACACCCGATCCTATATCAGATTTCAGGACAACTAGATCGGATCTGCTACCTAGTTCATTTAGTATTTTGAAATGAGTTGAGGTCGAAATGCTTTTTTGTTTCCAATTTGTATTACGGAATTAATATACCATCAATTTACATACACAAGGAGGAGTAGTCGTGCTTTGCTTGTATAGATAGGAGGACAAATACCCCAGTGGTTAGAAAAACAGATGAGCCGTGAAAACTGTGATGGACGCAGGCGATAGACTACCAACTTCGTCTATAACTGAGCAATTAATCAATATGAATTACTAGGTTGATATTAAAACAGATTTTAAGCTTATTTACAAAAATAGTAAAGAGCGTTTATTGAAATATGCACAGGCGATAGCTATTTCTAAAACATTTGTCACTCTGTACCTTTATTTCTCATATAAGTTGGCTTGACAACTAAATGTATGATCACACAGTTCGAAGTGTATTCTGCAAATACACTACAGTTATCAGATAATCGCCATCTTCTTATATCACTATCCGAATTTAAAAAAACTAAGTTGGTTTCGCATAGCTGTTCTCATAAACTGATGAATGAAACCAGTCGATTGTTCCATATTAGACGGGTTTATTTGATACAACACAATGAGACAGTATTACTTACTGGGTTACCCTTAGACAACAACTGATTGATCCTGATCATATCAGTGTATTCACACGGCGTTTGATACTTTTTTCTCTCCTCCATGTTATTCCTTGTAATTTTCCATGTATGGTATTGACACTGCATCATTTCGACCATACGTGTTTGGTGACGATCCAGACAACAGTGATTAAGCTTTCTCTTCACCTATCTATATTGCTTTTCAATATTTTCACCCCTTCCCACCTTAATGTGTAATTATATGAAAGTGAAGGCATTGCAGTGGCCAAGAAAGGTCAGTCGTTCTAGGTCTAGGTGGAAATCTAAGTTGAAGTAATCTAACTACCCAATGTCCTCTATCTGCTCAACAAAGTAAGTCCATGTATGCTTAGTTTATTAAGTGAATCTACAGGTTACAGAGATCGGCACTGTCTGCAACACAGTAAAAAGTAAACAAAACTGGACAAAAAGAAGTACTATTGTGAAAATTGTGAAGCCTTTCTGATAAAATTTAAGTCACATTATACACGTCGTCAGGAGACAAGGAAGTTGATGGTTGTCACAAAAAGCTGCGATCCAAATTTAGAATATATTTAACTCTTTATTTTCTTTAATGAGAACTGCTCACCATGAAGCTGAGCTGTTTATAATCCAGAAGTGTAGACGTTACTTAAGTGGTCCTTTTCTTTCTATTGATGTTAATATTAAGACAAAAAAGACAATGTGGCTACTGCTGTCTCAAAAGCTGCCAACAAATCAAAACTTTATGAAAGGATTGACTGTAGGGAAGTTTGGGGAAATAAAGCAGAAAGAGGCCAGAAAAAAGGTTTATTCGGACGTCTGTTTCTATTCGATTTCTTCCAAGTTATTAATCGAATGCGTTGCAGTGTGTCTATCCCCTAGTAACAGAGTGTGTCTAGAACAGGACTAAAAATGAATATTCATCCCTATCTAAGCAACACTAGGATTTTCTCAGGTAAGTGGTTAACGTCTACATACAGTTCATCAGTCCTGAAATAAATCAGGCATTGACTGATAGCATTTGTTAGCGACGTTACTACACAACAGTGTAACAAGGATTCGGCTAAAAATTATGTACTTTTCAGTTAGATCCTCATCAATATATATATATGCAGGAGAAAGTGGGGATGAACTGGACACTCGCTGAGGAGACCGCTGGGTGACATTGCGCGTCAAGACCTAGAGTGGAACCCAAAAAGGGAAGCGGCGAGTGGGTCGTCGGTGCAAGGGTGACATGGAGGAGATCGTGTGAAGAGGAGTTGAAAGACTATGGACTAAATTGGATGCAGGTGAAAAGTACAGAAGAAGCAAGTGGAGACGTGGAGTTGAAGCCCTATGTTCCACTAGGAACTCAAGGGAGCAATAATAATTATATATAGGGAGAGAGACAGACTGACTGACTGATAGTGTGGCTGTCAGTTCACCACTAGCACCACTCCTAGCTGGGTTTCTCCTCGCGATTTTAGAGAATGGATCACTGAAAGCAGTAATTAAGGGATTGGAATCCTACTGTAGATATATGGATGAAGCATTTTGGATTATGCGAAATGAGAATGAAGCAAGAAAAATCCTTGAAAAATTTAAACACGTCTACCCTGCAGCAAATGTCATCAGCGAACAAGAAAGTAATGGTAGTATTTTATTTCTAGAAGTCTTTTTGACTAGAAAAGAGGAGGAAGGTAGAATAGAAAGGAGTGTACATAGAAAATCGACAACGACAGGTCAGTATTCTCATATTTTGAGTCTTGCACCTTTTTAATGTAAATGCAATTTAGTAAAGTCTTCGAATCATACAACGGGGATAATCTGCTTAAATAACTGTCCTAATGGGCAGCTTAAGATTATTAAGGAACTACATGAATTTAGCTCCAAGATAAGTCAGTATGGCAACATCTTCAAAGCAGACTTAGTTAAAATTCTCGGTGATAATACCAGTGAAACAGTGACGCAGTGCCGAAGAAACGCAGTTAAAAGTGCATTCATTACAGCAGAGGTATGCTGTCTCTTTACAACCACTCCAATTTTACACTCGAGAAATGAGGATAAACTACCTAATTCAATTTTGTGTTCATAGCTCTGGTTTTTCTAACTGAATGGCTAAGGCTTCTGCAATGCACACAATTAGAAAATTATTCGACCACTTCTACTACCATGGTATCAATCGTGTTGATTCCTACTCACTTAATTTTTGTTTGTTTGCCTGCTTTTTTAACCCCTTATAACTCTTGTACTTCTGTAGAACTCTTCCATAATTCCATATTTTCCTTCGTTTCTATGTACATCCTGATCACAATTCACTCACTGAATTATTCATCTTATTACGTAACCATGATACACTTATTCAACTTCTTTTATGCATTGGCTAGCAACATTAACAGCTCTGTTTGTGACAACTCATAACTTTTATTACTACCCTGTCTTATGAAAAAGTAAATATAAATGCGAATGTACAGTTAAAGGAAATAAATTCTCCGAGAAGAGCCTATTCACTGAACTACGTGTTTTCTTTTCATTAAAGATATTCACCATATTAAATTTTGCTTAACTAGTTCGTCGTGTACATACAGCTAAGGCTATCGGAATTCACCTAGAGCCAGACTTCTCTATTCAATAGAGATTCGTGTATTAATTTTCCTTACCTTTACTATCTTTACCATCTTATGTAAGAAACTGACAGGTTTCCCCCTCCTTCTTAAGCAGTTTACAAGTAATCATTTTTCTAACTATTTCGTCATTCTGATTACGTCACACAAATATCACACAATCAGTCTGAATATTCACTTATTTCTTAATTACTCCTATTATGTCTTTCTCCAAATTATGTATTGTGCAATCCATTTGTTTGATTTTTGCAATTATTTCCAGTCTTCCATTGTTGCATTAATCTACTTGGGTTAATTATTACTGGCCTTCTCATTTTGATAAATAACTAATTGGGTGCATACTGATGATAAGTCCCAAATTGGGAAGAAACGGCTGTCCAGTAGGCCAGACTGGTTTTCAATGGTTCTCTTAGTTGCATCACTTCTAGATCAAGCTTGAAACAAAATTGAATCCCTACAGTTCCATATTAACTTGTTTATTAGATGTATCACACAGTGAAACAGTAGTATTTACTGGATAACAAGGTTTCAAACACATTTTATTGTTCATAATCATTCCATCAATTATAATCACACGACTTTGAAATTTGAGTTTTATAGTTTTCTTATTTGTTATAGGGGTAGTAGAATTTTCCAGATGTCTGGGACAGGTGTTGAGTCATTTCTATTACACGCGTTTGTAGTTGATTAGATAAATGAAGCTTCCGTTATCAATCTCTCCCTCCACCCAGCTGTTACATTAGATTTCAAGACTGTCATCTTATCACATCCTGTTGTGCGGTCGTGTGCAATCGCATGTAGTGAGTGCTATAGTTGCTGAATCATTCTCCAGATTTCTTATCTTATTAGGGTCAACTAGTCTAGAGCTCTCCTTGTAACCAGAAGGTCTCGGGTTCGAAGCCCCTGTGGGTGTATACTGATGAAGAGTCCCCAACTAGGATGAAACAACTGTCCAGTGCTCCCAGGTTTTCCAATGTTTCTCTAACTGATTAATTCCCCCAACGAATCAAACAAAATCCTTGAAAAGTTTATACTTGAAAATTAATCTAGATTTCGCTATAAAACGAAATTTTCGAAGTCCTGTGATTATAACAGATGGTTTGATTATGAACCACAATAAATTGCGTTCGAAAAGTCGGCATCCAGTAAACACTACTGTTTCTCTGTGTGATGTATCTAATAAACAAATTAATACGGAATTGCATACCACTAAAGTGCCCAAGTTTTACACATATACAAATCCCTACAAACTCTTCATCATTATTGTCAACTAACGTATCCTCACTGAATTGTTAAGTTTTTGTATTGTATTAAAAATTCCTGTATATATTAGAGTAGAGCCATTGATGAGGATCTACCTAAAAACTACGTCCTTTTTTGCTCAATCCCTTTATCTTCTAAATGTCTAAATGTGGTCTGTTACTACTGTATTCTTTGTATTCAGTCTCATTCTACTCATTACTATAAAGTAGTTCAGGTTTAATGTTTGGTTTACAGAGTGCTTCCACTCTAACCATAATTATTCACTTCGGTTGAACAATGTCTCATTTAACATATTAACATTCTATTTTGTCTATAGTAACTCTAACTGATGTATGTGTTCCTTATGCTTCACTCTATCTTGGACATTGTCCATTCTAACCGCTTTGATCTTTGAATTGTATACAGTCGTATTCTCCATTAGTGACTGGATCGTTCGAATAAAGCTCTGTTATTACCTTCGCCACAGTCTTTTGTTTTGCCATTTGGCCACAAAACACCTCACGGTGTGAGTTTTGTAGTTTGTGCTCTTTGTTGTTTTCTGTCCATCTAGTATCGTAATCTGGATTTTACGTGTAACCAAAGCGTTTGAATTATATTCGCCGAAAATTCAGTCCCGTATTTCTCCAAATGAGACAACCTGACTTTTAAACATTTTTGTCTAGCTAATTTATATTCTATGAGACCAGTTAAATGCCGAAAATTCCTCCCATCCATCCTTACACCTAATTAAGAAAGCTAAAATAATACACAACTAGCAGTAAAGAGATCAACCTTAGTAATATCATGAAAATTCAGAACATAATCGTGTACAAATGGAATGAAAGCCCAGTTTATATTACCTCATTGAGTAAAGTTTAAAACAGAATACAAACATTTATCTTTAAATTTTATTATTTATTTACTTGTTAGTTTGTTAAAAGGACTGGCTTTCATCATCATCATCATCATCAGTTCATGATAAAATGTGAACATCAAATTAGGTAGTGTTATTTTCATCTTAAATTAAAAGATCATTGAAACTCGGCCTGTGTTCGTATAACTGGCGACGTGTATATTCAGAATTATATGGCAATGCATAGTCTAGCCCTCTGGCAGCACGTTTAAAATCTGTCCAGCGTTTTGTTTGAAAGTCAATACTGCCACTCTAAAGATAGTTTAAACAAAAAAAATTAACACAAAAGGAATACTCATTAGTGGAGTTAACTAACACAAAATGCTAATTATCGAAATTGCTGTTAGCAGATTTTGAAGGGTTAGTATTTTTGAAAAGTAAAATAGTAGAAAAAATTGTATATATACATTATGATAAGGAGTGCTGCGGTAGTTCAATAGTAGAATACTTCCCAGACAAAAGGGATATCCGGGTTAGACCCCCGAGTGATACACTGCTAAAACTCGCCTAGTTAAGTAGATGGCTGTAATCCTGGAAAAGAGGTAAGGTAGGACACCAGGCTAGTAACCCGATCATATATGAAAGAAAACAACATCACCGCAACAAAAATTGGAATCTCGAAGTTCCATGTTCTACTCGGAACCTAAAGGATTGAAAAAGAACAGTGGGTGTCCCTTAATAATAATAATAGACGGATAACCTAATATTGTGTTTCCTTCCCATAGATGACCATAAATGGACAGATAGCCATTTAACCAGCCAGTTTCAGAAAATCCACTGCTCTCATTTATATACTGATTCGAATACTGATTGAATATTGTGCTTCAGACTGACAAATAGGGAAAGAAATATCATCACGACTGCATTTATTACTGCCTGAACTTTCTTCTTCCTCTGTGGAACAACTAGATGTTCAAATCAAAGTTGAAAAAAGTCTTAATTGAGTACTGTGAATATTTGTTGCCAAGCGGTGTATTCTACTTGACTTTGTTAACTTACCTGTTGTCTGCTTGTCTACCGACAGACATCAGAGGCATAATAGCTCTGGATAGAAATGTTTATACAACTCACAGGTGTCAACTGGTAGATAGTAATAATAGTGATCTATTTCTCCCTAACTAAATGCTCTTGTGTATATGTACTTTTGAGGAGATCTCTAAATGTTATCTCAGGTCAGGGGTTATCCAGTGAAACCCAAATGGGAAGCTACAGGTTCGAAGTTTGAGGATAACATGGAGAAAGTAGTAAAAGAGGAGATGAAGAATCGTGGGAATTCGTGGAGCTAGTCTAAAGTGTTGGGGGAAGAACTTAATACAGTGGAGGTGTGCCACTAAAGCTGTATTTTTCTCTAGGAATGAATGCTAATAGTCTATGCTTCTGGCATATCGTAAAGCAGAATAAAAAGTATGAATTGATGAATTATCACCTACAACTGTTGGTATCTTTAAATTTGTGTAAATGTAAGTCATACCCTTGGCCTGGCTCCATTAAGTTATGAACTGTGTTGTTTCTGAAAGGCATTACAAATAAACAGCCAACCAAGTTTGGTAATTTTGTCAATGTGCCTAGAAGGTTTGGATTCTGTTAAGTTGTATTCAGAATTTTGTTCGAAGTTTAATTTGCTCATAAATTTATACGGTAAATAGTAAAATAATCCTTACTTAAAATACATTTATGCTGCTTGGTATTTAACAGCTAGCTAGCTGGTAGACTCAGTTTATGTATTCAAGTTACTTGGATGTTATTCGGTTGGTGGTAGCTAGCAATCGGAACCATAACACTAGTTTCATAGTATCTCTAGCCGGTCAACTGGTTTTATTTACACCTCAGTGAGTGATGTTTTTCCCACTGGAACTCAGACAAAGAACAAATCCCTTCAAATGCATAGTCAGTATCCACCAGGCTCCTGGGTCATGAGAGACACATCTTGTTTAAAGGGTGATTGTTGGTTGTCCAATGAAATACGCGGAAATCCTGCCAAAGGAGTCCAAATCAAACTTTTTCAAAGCACAGAAGATGTTTGTTTAGTAACTACACTGTAGGCATGTAGGCGACGCACATACACGAACTAACAAAACTTCCAACTAAATTTTTTATAGAATAAACGATACTAACTGTAATCCTCAGATATCTTGGCTGATAATTCATAAACAGCGAGTTGTGACAGATTTATGCGCACAGGGATTTTAATCATCATGGATTATTTTTCGCTTATTGAAACTTTGAATTTCTCATTATTATGTTTTTTTTAAATCCCGCCAAATCTTAAAAACAGTGGGAAGTCCAAAGTATCAAATAGGTGCCTTTTGTGACTCGTTAGACTACTGGATAATTTTGTAGCATTCTAAATTATGCATTCTGTGCTCCATTCTCAGTGAGACACAGATACCTCCAACTGACCCCTCATAAAGAAGAAGGGAACCCGTGCAATGGATTCCGCTACCAGCAATATTATCACTTATTTCACTCTTCTGAAAAGCAATGCATTAACAGATCGAAAATATTCCATTTATCATAAAATTTGGCGATTATTATGAAAATTAACATGTTTTGGTGTTTAATTCAATGGAATATGACTTGGAGGGTAGAAAATTATTACTACTCTGTGGTGTCCTGTGCCATAATGAAGCCATAAAACCTTTTTTATCATAGCACTAGATGGCCAGTTAGTATTCCCACTCAACTATCAGTGATAATCACAAAGTAGATTTATAAAGATACAACCGGTTATAACCAGTGTTCGAACTAGACACTTAGTTAGCGCTCCCTTCGAAGCACTTCCTTTCAAGATTGAAAAATACTCACAGTTATATGTAACGTTTGGAGATGAATACTACAATTTAGCTAATAGGTTTTAATACGGGTAGTGTTACCGTGTTGAGTGTTTCTTGGCCATTAGGAAATAATTTATTTCATCGAACGAAGTATTTCGTAAAGCTGTATCTCAATGAAAGCTGAATTAGCAAAGAAAATAACTTTACTGGAGGCGTTGTCCACGCGTATGCTTGTAGTCTTAATGGAATCTGTGATTCCTTAATATACAAGACGTATGGGCTGAAAAGCGTTCATTTAAATTTTCTTACTGTCTGCATTTCCACTTGACCCTCGCCACCTGTTACAATATGTTTATTTGATTCGTAGCGAATTATGTTGTGATAATGTGACCAGCAGTTACAAGGATAAATCAGTTTGAAGGTTATGAACCTTTGTGAACCAGCTCATTTTTGCATACAACTGATTATTAGTCAGTCGCTGACAGCTATACAACACGTAAAGATACGTTCAGTGGCAGAATGCTATTCAGATAATCATGTCCTCTTGTCTCGATTCTACATGTATGCAATTCTAATCATCGTTCACTCGGTAGTAAGCCTAGGAAGGAAGAAAGGTTTGGCTATCAATCTCATCCCCAACACTGGAACTTCAAAGCTCACGGCTTGAAGCCCTAAGTTTTAGTTGAAGCGCCAATGAATGAAAAAAAAAACAAATTTAGTGCACCATAAAGGCAAGTTTGATAATGTGAAATGCCGACACTGAACAGTTTCAGCTGAGTAGAAGGCTTGTCAGACTAGAAGGATGACTGGAAGAAGAACTCTTGATCATAGGCTTCGCATATTAAATTACTTTTATCATTAGAAATACCGAAATTTGCTGGAAAGTCAAAATACAAATGTTAGGCGGAAATTGACGTTGGTAGCATGGATATGAAAGTGATAAATGGTTCCTAAGCAATTGAAATATGAGACCGAAGCAGAACACAGGATAACTCAACAGATTGAGGAAGCAGTCTCTTGTTGTCTATCTCTTTCCCCTTCTCTCTCTCTCCAAGATTATGAAACATTCAAAAATTCTCTTCTTTTTTTCAGTAAAATCTAATGATCACATATAAAGAGGCATAGACCACTAATAAAGTGGGTGGTATCCCCTTCCCTCCTCCCAGATTTTCCTTATTCAACTTTGTATTGCATCATCCATCCTTTAATCATCGTTTCTCAATTTACCTTGTAATTTTGTGATTGAGTTCTTGAAGTTATCGCTCTATATCAGTTTACTACACGAAGAATGCCTATCATCATCATCATCATCAACAGCAGCAGCACACACTATTTTAATATTTTATGTCACAGAAGCGAAACAGACGTTCACTTCTTTTTGTGCTATGAAATCCCTCAAGCCTAACAACGGACAAACAAATACACATACGTAAACACACAAACACACACAAACTTACACTAATGAAAAAGAATAAAATGATGTCAGTCTTGAAAAATTGATGCCAATGCTAAAATTGACAAAAGATTACAGTTTGTCTGTAAAATCAAGGTTTTGGGCAAGCCATTAATTAATTCATCTATACATTGTAAGCGTTCACTGGAATGTAGTCCATACAAATACAAACAATTGTATCCTAGTTTCAAATGAAGTCTCTTCGTCTTCCTAATTAAGGACTTAGTGAATAATTAGTGAGTGAGCTTCAGTCATTGCATTTATTTTTCTCGAAATACTGATGCCAGCCTGTATCTCCTCAAACTTAGTTTACTTCTAATCTCTCTGATGTAGAAAGTTTATCTCTGAAATATCTCAAGTTTCTTATTTGCTCACGAATTGACTTCACTTAGAGAACCATTACAAACCATAGAGTGCTTGAAGGCTATTTCACCCTTTCTGGAACTCCCCATGAGTGGGCACCCATGAAATCACCAGAGCTTGAACCCAGGATGTTCAGGCTACAAGGCGAGCTAGTTAACGATTCAGTCACTAGGATGGAACCTAATGGACCATAAATTCTGACTCCTGCTAATTCATGATAGACAACACCACCACCAGCCAATGTGATCGGCGAATATCTTTCCTAATACTTGACATCATCTCAGGGAATCGTTTCACAATAAATATTGAAAATATCCACCTGGTATGAGTGGTGCACATTGATGTGGGGAAAAACCTGGGATATGTTTTAAAGTGAAATACTACAAGTGTAAATACTCGTTGAATATTCATCTGAACTGTGTTGGAGAGTGAATATAATTCTGGTGCGTAATCTACATACTAGAGTACATGGATTCAACATTTTTTTTCTTTCTGTCACGTCAAGATTTCCAAATATTTTCAACAATATTCATCTATTCCCTCTACTCTCCTCCAAATAAATGTTACTGTTTCTGCAGACACATTACAGTATACAATAATGTAATTCCCTACTGAGCGTGTCTGATGAACTATAATGTTTCTTGTTCATATCTTTGTATTGCTTTTATTTTATTCACTTACCTATTTACATTAGTAAGCCAGATTTGATAATCACTTAGCGCTGATATAAATGAATGTAATTGGCAATGACTGAAGGAGACAGGATTTAAAACAGAAACGCGTACTCTACCAGCTGAACTACAACACCCCTCATCATCAATTCAGCTGCATATCACCCATGATAATAGTAGTGAAATGATCCCTTGGTTAGCAATTAAGTCCATTAACCCGATTGGTGGAGGTTCACATTAGTAATATGGATCCATCTGGTTCGAAACCTATCACAACTGAGATTTCCACACAACCTTCAGCGATCTCCTATTTGATGAACAAGAGTCTGCTAGAGTGTGACCATCTAAGGTAATCTCACTATTAAGTGATTATTCTTTTTTGACTTTACTATGTTTTTCTACCTTCCCTTACAAACATGCATACACACCTGTCTAGACACGTTCACAGTAAATGTTCGTTTACAAAGCACACAAATGTATTGTAACGTAACAACAACAAAGATAACAATTAAGCAATTAACTAATATTCATTAATGAATACATTTTCTTCTATCTTCTTATTTTTGAATGCTTTGAGAACTGTTAACAAGTTAAAGAAGTACATGAAACACTTTTTGCGTGATCAGTATTCAATGCTTATTTTGTTTGTTTTAATTAATTGACTTGCTTATATTTTGTGTGAATTGACTTTGTGTAAACAGTTAACATTTCAACTGATTTCTCTTGAGGGTTTAATTTAGAAAATGAGACAAAAACAAAACAAAAAAATACCTTAGATTGTGTGGTATAAACAATTCTGTTCAACCGAAACAACACTCAGGAATGTAGATTTCGTCACGAACTGATACGGGTTAAAGAACCACTAAAAATCTACGAAGTACTAGATTCTTCATTGGGGCTCTCTAACTGACATCTGTATGAATCAATCTCTTCAAAAACCCAACACTTGTCTTTTTTTCTTTTACCAATAAAAGAAGCTTTATTTTACAAATTGTATTGTGTAGGAAGATAATTTTTAATGAATGCCTACCTCGTTTACAGCTTTATGACGAATAACCTTTAGACATTAAAGCTTCGCAGTGGCATAGTGTGCATATTACTGTGGTTACCATGATCAAAAGCAGAGACAAACCACTTAAGAATACAGTCATAATTACAGGATTTCATCATGAGCTGACATTGGTTAAAGAACCACTGGAAAACCTGGGAGTACTGGACAGTTGTTTCATCCTAGTTTTGGACTCTTCATCAGTACGTGCCCACTGGGGTTCGAACCCAGGACCTTCCGGTTACAAGGCGAGCTCGTAGACCATAATTATTGTAGAATACAGAGAAAAAAGAGAGAAATGGAAAAGCTATCAGTAACTGGATACATACATGAGTAGACAGATGTGCAATGGAATTCTGAAGTAACTACAACATGTTACATAAAGGCTAGTAAGAAGACACTCATCACCGAATGTAAAGTTAAAAAGAGAAGATTTACGTGCTCAAATGAAAATTAATGAGTTATACTTTCTTAGTTCAAGACGCTTATGTTTCAGATGTGGGATACTTCTTAAGGCAAACCATTTTTAGCCATAGAGTCCATCGACTACAGCCTATTCAAAGTCTGGAAATGTCGACAAGGATAGTGAGTGAAACACACTGAAAATGTTTTCAGATGATGATGAATTCAAGAAGAGAGACTTTCACTCAAATCTATAGACAAATTCAGCAGAATAAGAATTTAGAGAATTACTCGTTGATTTGATTAGATTTGTCTACATTTCTGTATGTCATTCTCTCACCACATTACTTACATATTCTAAAATTTTAAATTAAAACTCAATTCACTTATTCCCCAATTACTATAACATGCGTGGTTTCCTTTGTTTGACTACCTCGCAAGGGAGTTTGAAATCAACTTTATCTATCTAATCTGTGATCGATTGGTGCTACCAATATCTGGTAATTGGGCATCCCAAAAATCATGGTATTCCCCCAATCTCCATGTAATATTTATTCTCTGTTTTAATACTAATTCAACGAAATCTATGTGATTTTATGTACTTCTTAACGAAATTCTTCGTTATTTCTACAGATTATTACTTTATTTTTGTTTTGTTAAGAATCATAGCAGATTATTTGATTTGAAAGTAGTTAGTATAAGGGATAGACACTAACTAAAACCACTTTTCGACTATTGGTAGCTAGATAAATTTCCCAGACTAGGCCGACTCAATAGCACACTACAGCTAGGTTTTCGACACTAGTTAGACTGATACCGTTTTATCAGGGAATTTTGTGTAGAGAGAAAATAATTTACGACTACTTTGGTCCTACGTGATGTTCACTCACTCTTGTTAAAGTATTAAAGTGTACACATGTTCCAGTTTTGTTTTAAACCCAGTTAGTCAGTGTCTAAAGCTACTTCTCTATTAATTCCTGATATATGCGTAAAATAGAATAAATCGCTGTGTGGCTACTCCTGAGATTATACTACTGTTTGAACAGAATTCGAACAGGCGCATATCTGATGAACTTGGGTGCGAATAAGTGAAACAGCCATCCAGTTCTCAGACTATCTCTACCTGAGCACTACTCATATCAATCAACTTGCATTTCTTATTTTTCACCAATACTGCTTCATTCTTCAGAAGTCTTTTCTCTCAACACTTATTGTCTTTCTTACAGCTAGCTAGTAAGTTATCCAGCTGGACTTCTGAACGAAATATTCCAAAAATAAGAAGTAGATTAGGATAATCACTCAATCTTTGAAAAGCCTTATTTCTTAGGCAACTGCTTATACATGCTCATTTTTTCACAGTTATCAGTGATACGTGTACTTTGCTGGTTGATTTCAAAAATATTATAATTCAGTAGGGGGTAACCTGTGCTACTGCATCCTAGTTTTCAGGTGGATTTAGTCAATGGAAGGCTATAAACCTTTGAAAACACATCTGACCGTAATTATCAATGGGGCACATAAGCTTACATCTGGAGGCTTTCATTACTGAAACCTGATACGCTGAGTTAGTCGAATTCGTGTCATTAATTATATCTTAACCAATCTGAGTTTTACGAAATGGATTGGACAAACAGTCGAGTTTGTAATAACTCACAAGAGAAATGAATATTCTTCTTAGGTGTAGGACAGTGTTTTGATTAAGTCGAAAATAGAGCGGAAAGTATGTCAGATTAATCGACTGCTAAATAAAATAAGTTTTCACTAATACCCAGGATCATCTGTGGGAAGCTTTCATCAAGTGATAGACGTCACTTAGTCAGTAAAATTGAATAAGCAGGAGATGTCATGTGTAACAGTTAGGAATCAAAACAAAAACGAAACTGATTAATCAAACAAAAGGTGGAAATCAGGCAAACAACTTACCTCAGGCATTACTAATCCTTTTACGGAAAACATTAATACACCAATAAATAGTAGGAATGACAGCAGATTCATAAAGGTGAACGATTTCATAATTACTGACTTCACTAAGTAACTTTGTCTTGTAGACTAACTGTTATCAATTAATTATTCACCGAAAAGTTGCGGAAAATTTCAACGACTTTTATAACAAACCTCAGTAAAATTATCCCTAATTTTTATTGGCTATACATGTAGCAGAGAAATGATTGCATAAAATCTGTGTAACAAACACCATTCCTACTAGTATGATTACGGTGGTAGCCATTATGCCTAAGCGTAGGAAGAAAGGCAGTGCAAGTATTCTAACCAATCACAAAAAAAATAAAAACATGAATTAATCACTTATTAACGCTTAAATATTTGCGACCAATCATAATACAACCACTATACAACATAGTCACACTATGGTGAACCATACAGAATAATAGTGATTATATCGACAACTATAGGAAGATACAGAAGAAAAGTGAAGGGGTTACGGGGATAACAGAAAGCTCACTGACGTAAAAACATACCTTTGAATATCTTAACAACAACAGAAATTTTTAATTATTGGTTTGAAGACAGCTGATTAATCCCAAAGTGGATTTTATTACTAAGTGACATCAATTACATAACTACTGAAAAATACAAGATAGTAATCACCTTATATATATCCAAACCAAGTTCACTTTTAACGGTTTGAAAAAATTTGGGCATTGGGTATATGATATTCATTATAATAGAGGTTTTTTTGTATTTCCCAATGAATGAAAAAACAAAACGAGATTGTTTTTACTGACGTTTCGCTATTTAATTTTGTTTTTTCATTCATTGGGAAATACAAAACAACCTCTATTATAATGAATAGTAATCACCTGTTGTCCTCACGTATGAGCACAGCATGGATAGAACGCATGACTTTCAGGTTATAAGGTGAGCATGTTGCTCTTCAACCACTATCTGGAAATTCAGTTGGAAACAATTGTCCAGTCAGTACTCATTCCCTGGTTTTCAACAGCTGTCTAAGTGATGTCTCGTAGTGATGAGATTCACTCAGGAAACAACAAAAGTGATGATAAATACAGTATAATTAGTACTGATTTCTGTTTTACACCACTCCGGAGATAGTTTTACAATGATTCATTCTCACCAGTTGCTGTGAATTATAATAGTGTAATAATATTGAGAGAATAGTGCATAGGTAGTTCAGTGGCAGAATACTTTTAAACAGTTCACCTGGTTCGGGGCTGAATTCCCCGCCGACTCACTCCTATGCCTCACTTAGCCAATAGTAGTTCTGGTAAACAGAGAAGGCTGACCACGAGGCTATTAACCTCATCCTGTAAACAAATAAGCACCACTGACACTGGAACTTTAAAGCAAAAGCTTGAAGCCATGTGTTCCACATGGAACGCAAAGGAATAAAAAAAGACCTATGGAATAACTGAAACAGAAACCTTGTGGTGCATATCTGTATTTGCGCTATCAAAGGACTGGAAATTGAAATAATTAAGATAATTTGAACAACCTAAGCGCGTTAACTCTATTTTAATGAGATCTATGTAGTGAACAATTATGATGAGACAGGTTAAAAAACAACAGATTAGTGGACTGCTTCTAGGTGAAATAATTAAATCCTTCAACATTGAGTCAGAGTACGTTAACAGTAATGTCACTGGCTGCAGCACTGATGACACCAGTTTGAATCTCTGGGTGTACATCAGTTCCTTGAAGGTTGCAGATCTGCCCTAATGATGAGTACAGAAAAGCATGAAACCCAGGTTCAGGACATCTTGTTGATTACCTCTAACTACCAAGCACCAATTCAAAGTACACTGTATTGATTTTTCATATCACCTGGATCATCTGGCAGGTCATCTGTCCGAAAGAATTTAGTGAACACTATCACCAGAGATCAGAAGTATGACAGTGATTACTTCCTGTGGACTAGTCAATAATTCTTTCAACTTTTACAAGAATTATTGCAATATTCTTTCCTAAATAACCATTAAGAAGCACCAGAGATGTCAACGACAAATGTTAACCAGTAACAGATCGGCAATATACACTCTACGATGAGTATCACTAGACTACAAGTTGTGTTCTTCACCATGTCTGAAAATAACGCCTCCCTCCGCCACCCAGTAGGCATGAAACACCACATCACCATTTCAGGTATCAGTATGTCGTCGAAGAGAATGATAAATAACAAAAGAACTGCCTTTCACAAAACTAGAATTCCATAATAGTCTTGTTATTCACTGGCATGCAGATTTGCTAAGTGGGTAATTCAGTGGTTTATATTTCAGATATCATCCCTTCGAATTACATAATCGATAAGAAATCATAGGTAGGGATAACTCAGAGTTAACATGTTTAAACAACTACATTTTTTAAAATCTTATTTAGCGATTTATTGGCCAGAATGTTTTTTACTTTAACTATATGGTTTGTAGAAAACTTTAAAAATCGAAGCTGCATTGTTTTAATACCTACAGTTTGAATTGTTGTCGGCTAAAAACAAATACCATTTAAATACCATTAAGCAGGTCAGTGTGTATTGTATATTCACTATTTGAATCACCTAAATTTCAAAGCACACAATCTATAATTCACATATGTAATATTTATGCATGTGCGTCGGTGGCACGCTCACCAGCCATGAACATGGTCCGGGGTTCGATCCCCGGCCACAGGACGCACTCCTTTACCTTGCTAAGCCAGAAATAATGCTGGCAAAGAGGAAAAGGTTGGGCATGAAGCTACTAGCGACCTCATCCTGTAAAACTAAATAGTGCTACAGAAACTTCAAGTCACCAGCTTGAGGCCCTATGAAGGAGAAAAAATATATTTATAAATACAGTTTACCTTGTTTCAAGGAAAACAAATTTACATCGCACAATAAACTTGCATCGCAGACCATCTTCCATATTCGACCAAACAATATCTTGATATGATTCAAGAAAACATTGATATAAAGTGTCTGATTTGAGCAAGTCTAAACATGTACAACCTTCATAAAGAGTTTGGCTACAAGAAGTATAATCACAACATAAGCTGACTATTGTGACTTGACTGCTTAGTGAATGAACAATGCTGAGCTGTGATTTTTTGAAAATGATTGTGTGTGTGTGTGCGTTTGATCCAAGTTATTGAAAGAGTGCTAACTATTCACAGACACACATGTGACAAGCTTTGCACACAAAGAAGAAATGCTGAATTCTGATACCCTAGCTTACATCCACAAAGAAACATTGGAATACAGGAAGTATTATGGTGTAGTTGTGTTCTCTGGGCTGGATGGTTTATCTGCGAAACTTTCATCGCCCTACTAGGCAACGTCTTCAGTGCATACTTCAATTTGGTGAAGTGAGCTTTAAGCTTCGCAAATAAACCATCCTGCTCGGTGAACACAACTACATCAAAATCATCCATCTGAGCTACAAATCTTTTTCATGATATCTACAGGAACTATTTTAGAAATTTGTTGACATGAACTGAGAAAGCATGACATCCTCTTCAAGGATGTACATATATGTTAAAAAAATGATATTTTTCAAGTATTGGTTTTGTAGGGATTTTGTTTGATTGCATGGAGGATTTAATCATGAGCTGACATCAATTAGAGAACCACTGGAAAACCTGGGAGTACTGGACAGCCGTTTCGTCCTAGTTTGGGACTCCTCAGCAGTACGCACCCACCGGGATTCGAACCCAGGACCTTCTGGTTACAAGGCGAGCTCGTAGACCATTGAGCCACTGGGACCCGATCCAATGGTCCTTGAATTCTAACTTCTGCCAGTTCACGACATAGCCCGACCACTTCGCAATGTCTTCTTCGATGAGTTACTGCCTCATCTTCGACCTGCTGTACCCTACTGGTCACGGCTTCCCACTAGAACCCCAGGTTAACTGCCTGAATAGGGCCAGTCACTAGTGAGCATCAGATGAATTTTCAAGTATTGGTTTTTGTAGGGATTTTTGTTTGATTGCATGGAGGATTTAATCATGAGCTGACATCAGTTAGAGAGCTATGTCGTGAACTGGCAGAAGTTAGAATTCAAGGACCATTGGATCGGGTCCCAGTGGCTCAATGGTCTACGAGCTCGCCTTGTAACCAGAAGATCCTGGGTTCGAATCCCGGTGGGTGCGTACTGCTGAGGAGTCCCAAACTAGGACGAAACGGCTGTCCAGTACTCCCAGGTTTTCCAGTGGTTCTCTAACTGATGTCAGCTCATGATTAAATCCTCCATGCAATAATAAATAAAGTTGCTAAGTGAGGTCGATAAAAATGTCTGTTTTTCAAACACTTAAATTTCATAGGCTTATAGTCCTAATTTCTCATCTTATGAGAATAACTTTATTATCAGAACTCAGCTTACGCATAGACAGAATAACATAGAACAAAATATCCACCTTATAGCTCCCTGTGAAATGTTAATACGAATTCTATCGCACATAAGATAATAGCCACTTTGTGATGATAAGAATTTCATCCTAATAATTTAAACTGACATCCTGTCAACAGATGGTGCTTAATTGTAAATTAGTGTTTAGAGCTCGAATGAATCAGTGATGGTTTTCTATTCAGAATGAATATAAACCCACCATCTAGCATGATGAATACCAACAGGTCCTCTAGCAAACTGTGGTTATTTTATTTTATTTTATACCTTATTACGTAGGATGTTAAAGGTTGTCAGCAGGGTAAGCAGCTTGCCACTTAGCCAGCTAGTTAATATTCTGGTGGACAGGCATATGGACTCATGTGAAAAATGGGCGAAATCCATTTTATCTGACTCACAACACCCTCTACATTCACAACTCTCCCCATGTATCTCTTCAGGGAAAACAAGAAGCCTATATAGGAAACTATATGCCCGCACTAGTAAGTACAAAAACTCATCCATACCCTACCTAGCCCGTGTTCTGTGCGATAAAGAATGCATCAGGCATGAAACCTTTAACTTATTAAATAGTCAGTAGAACCAATGGATCTCGTCTTTCCAACTCACATCATTTATAGGTACAACGTTTTCTCGCTCTTCATT